CCAGACCACTCACATGGTCGTTGACAGGATTCAGTTCTTCGTGACTGGATAACCGGACGAAGGTCTCAGTTCCTTGCTGGCTGTTTGCTAGAGGCTGTCCTTAGTTCTTTGCCACGTGAGTGTCCCCAACCCGCAGCTTCTTCATCAAAGCACGTAAACCAAGAGGGCAACAGAGGAAGAGAACCAGTAAGACAGAAACCAAAGTCTTTTGTAACATAATGCACAGGTGACATGCCGTCATTTTTGCTGTATTCTATTTGTTAGAAGCAATCACTAGGTCCGGCCCATGCTCAAGAAGAGGGGATTACACCTAGGTGTGAATCCCAACAGGTGGGGCTCACGGGAGCCATGTCAGAAGCTGCCTACCAAATACCCTCTTTATATAAGTTCTTTCAGTGAGTCTGAGAGCAAGAGCTCTATTAATTTTTGTTGGTTTAAAAGGGTCTTAAACGTCTTCGTTTCTGTCTCATTCTCTTTCCTTCTGGGACTCCAAACAGAAGTGTGTTAGACCATGTGATATCGTCTGACAGCCCAACGATGCCGTGTTCTTATGGTTTTCTAGTCTTTTTTCTCTTTGAATGTCATTCTGGAAACTTTCTATTGCTACATTTTCAGGTTCACTGATCTTTGCTTCCGCGGTGTTACTGACTTCCAACCTTTGTACATTTAGACACTTAAAACACTTCCAAATGGCTCACCATCAGAGGAAAAACAGCATGGAAATCTGATAATACTTAAACCAAACAATACAGAAAATATCACGTTTCAAACTCTTGACATAGCCAAACACACTTAGAGGAACCTTAAATACTTAGAGAAATTAAATACTTCTTTTAAAAATCAAATTGAAAACTAATAAACTAAGTATCTAGATCAAGAAGTTAGAAAAAGAACAAACAAGTAATCCCAAGAACATAGAATGAAATCATAAAGATAAATGAATAAGGGGCACCTGGATGGCTCAGTAGGTACACTGTGTGATTCTGATCTCGGGGTTGTGAGTTTGAACTCCACACTGGGTGTAGAGACCACTTAAAAGTAAAATCTTTAAAAAAAATGAATAAGATTAGGGGTGCCTGGGTGGCTCAGTCGGTT